ACACCATATTCACTACACCATCCTGATTGTAACTTGTTCCACATAGGCAACCTCCATGTACAATATATTCTGCTGCAGTCTGTCAGATACAGTGCCCAGAGCAGTGCTTAAAAAAAAAAAAAGGCTATTACTGAAGGCCCAAAGCAGATATAAGATGAGATGTTTTGCAGCAGGTTTGTTCTAGTCTCTCCCTAGTCTTTATGAAAGATGTAATAAAGTAGGGGGAGGGGGTCAAGGTTGAGAGGAAGTAAGAGAAACTAGTGAGCAATATAATGAAAAAAAAATAAAAACCAAGAGCTCCATGGGTAATTGTCCTCAACTGTAGAAAGATGGAAACTATCAACATGATGGTTACCCAATGGTTTTCCCAATTTCCCATGATAACTGCAGGTCCAAAGGATCGGGCGGGATTCATGCTGGCACCAGTGTAATTGATCTAGAGGGAAAAAGAAAACAACTTCAGGCATTGCTGAAACACAGCTACTAACAGGTATCATTCACGGGAATTTGCTGCCATTTGCCAAGTTAGTTAGAGGAACTCAAGATGTTAGCAGCCGTATCAACATTCTCATCACACAGTTAGCATAATAATCACCGAAAATGGACAGACGTGGCTGGATACTAAAGAACTACAGCTATAAAACACAACATCTTCAGGCCAGCTCTAGGGGGAGGATAAATGAAATGGATCAATTATTTAAATGGACTTGGAAACTTACTGCAAATAAATGTCCAATTGCCACAGAAAATCCAATTGCTAAAGCTATTGAACCAGTGACATCAGTCCGTTTGGAATCACAGCTGGCGAAAATAGTAAACACCAACTGAAATGTGATTATCAACTCCACCAGGAGACCATGACCAGCGCTGAGATTTCCATGAACCTACAAAGAGAAAAATACTCCATCTGAATTGAAGCAAGAGTACATTTTCTATGACAACATAACATTGAGAAAAGCATATTTTATCCCTGTAAAAACTGATGGTTAATTTGAATCTTCTATCCCACTGTCAATTGAGACAGTGTCCCCCAGACCCCCAGAAAAAGAAGGAATAAATTTCTACCCATTTGGGGCCATCACAGGTAATTCATTACTCTTACAATGACTAAACGGGAGTTTGTGCTGAATGTCCGTTTCTACAAAGGGAGCAAAATGTGCCACTGCTGCACTTATCTTAGAAAAGTTTCTTGAGTCTTGGAATTTTATAAGGTAATGATTAAATCCATTAATTAGGTTTAAATTAATTAATATACATTTCAATTAACATTTAAACTGTGTGCGGGTTTTTAATCAACCCTGGTGCTGAGCTAACAAATGATATTCCTAATCAGCTAAGAACAAAACTAGGATCAAAGGCCCATTTATTTTTTCAAGTGTGACTCGATGTAGATCATTTTAAATCTTATGAACATGACAAGAAACAAAACTGTTTCCTATGCTAGGGAACCAACAAATAATTGTAATAAAAATGCCTTTGATTAACTATATAGTCAGTATGGTCACTGGGATGAGAGAGAGGGGAAAAAAACCAAAAACCAACACGATTTTTGTGCCACCCAGACTTAGCAATGTCCAAGTCACTCACTAGCAAACAATGATTTCATATGATATAGTCAATGTTGGTGGAATCAGTTTCACCCCTATCAAGAATCATCTGAAATTCCTTGGGAATAAATCAGCAATCTTAAGAAGGTCTCTCAGGCCACCAGGGTGTCATCTAGCAGAGTATGTAAGAAGCCTGGAGTCCTAGTTTGAAAAGAAGAGTTAAGGATGTTACCGTGGTGACTCCCAAGCCCCCCACCACACTCGGAGGTGTGACGAGGTAGAGAATGCCCGCTCCAATGATGGCACCCAGGCACTGGGCTGCAATGTAGAAGACAGACTTGGCGATGCTAATCTTCCTGGTGCACACCATGGCCACGGTCACAGCGGGGTTGATGTGGCCGCCACTGATGTGGCCGAAGCACTGCACCATAGTGGCAATGCTGAGTCCAAAGCAAAGAGAGATGAGAACCATGTCGACGGGTAAGGGCTTTTCCATTCCACCCCAGTTGATGGTGGATCCCAGGCTGAGGAGAACGAAAATAAGCATAGCCAGAAATTCCGCGGTGACTGCTTTCCAGAAAGCTTGAGTCCAGACCCCTTTGAAGGCCACCATGATGCTCTCTCTTCTACACAAAGGTCCACACTTACTGAAAAGAAAGACAAATTGGCATCAGAGGCTACCCAACCAGGGTTTATGAATTTAGGTGAAGATGCCAGGCCTGTAGTATTGCCCTAATGTGGGCAGGGCCCCTCTCATGGTTACTTGCAGACCAAGAAAGAATGCTTCTGGAACATCTCCTTAATTAATTGTCTCCTTAATTAATAATCAAGAGATTGTTATTCTAGTCTCCTTTTATTTAATATTCAAAGATCATCCAATTTCACTGGAAAATTATCTGAATTGTTCCTAGAAAGGAAAATGTCTATATCAATTTCCTTAAAAATTGAGTAAAATATATTTACCCTATAGTTAATTCCCTCAGAACAAGTTTTTAAGTTCAATGTACTTTTCAGATACTATTTATATTTTGAACATAAAACAATTTTAAAAAGGGAGCTCTTTTTCAGTTTCGTTAATTTATTGCTGAACCTAGCATTCTGAAACCGGCTTTTAGAGCGTGATGCTCCCTCGCCTCTCCCCAGTGGAGACTGGATTAACCGGAGGTCTGCTGGGAAGCCAGGAATGCTGGAAGTCTGTCTTCCCAGAAGGTAAACTCGTTGCGGGGAGGGGAGCTCATGGTGACTGGCTTCGGCGGCGGGAACTGGCAGGGCCTGAGCTGGGACGGGACACTCCCTCTTTGTCCCCTGCCAGCGGGAGGAGTCCCGGAGCCGGGCCGCCGAGGGACCTCGTGGCCGCCCGGGTCTGGACGTGCGGCGCGGGACGTGTCACTCTCAGCCCCAGAGGAGCCTGCAGCGCCTCTCCAAAGGCAGGGGAGCGGCCACTCCCAGGCCCTTGCCAGGCTCCCGGGCAACGGCCAGGTGCACAAACACAGCCGCTTATCAGCCTGGGACCTGCGCCATGCCCGCCCGCAGGCCTCCTCGGCGGCCCGGCAGCCTCGCCTGGGAAAGCTGCGTCCTGGCCTCCGCGGTCCTTCTGTAGTGTCAGGGGACAGTCCCTTCTCCTGCCTGACCCTCTCTCAAACCCTGAGGTTACCCCTCAGATAAAGCTCCCCAAAGGGGTCCTGGAGGCTGGCGTCTGCAAGCAGCGCCCCGGGCACCCTGCCCGCCCGCCCAGGCACCCTAGTGCGGCTGAAAGCCGGGGAGGCGCCACCGCGGCCGGCGAGGACGAAAGGGGGTGTGGCAGGGGAACTGGTCCTCAGAGTGCGAGGCTCCGCGGGAAGCGGTGTTTCTCTAGTGTATTCTTGACAGCCTGCTCCTCCTTCTGCTTGGCCCTGCAAGACGGCGTACCTCTTCCTAGGGGAGCTTGTGTGTGTGTGTGTGTGTGTGTGTCATGGTCGCGGGCGGAGGAGGAGGGGGGAGGGGGGAGGGGAGGGTAAGGGAGGAGAGTGAGGGAGGGTGAGGGAGGGTGAGGGAGGTTGGGGAGCAGCAGGGCAGCCATTGGGAGGGAAGACACTTTCTTCCTCCAGTCTCTTTGCCTCTTAGTGTCTGCGGATCTTTGGAGCTGAGCAGGGATGAAGTTTGAGGATATTAATGCCAACTGCTCGTTCTGGCAAGAAACGGCTAGGATCGCCCTTGGAGGGGCGGTTACCCCGGTTACTCCATTATTCAAAACATGTGCCCTTATCCTTTGCCTGTGATAGCCTGGAAGCCAAGGAGTGTGGAGAGCAGTTAGCAGACTGCTCACAGAGGACTATGAAAAGGGTTGGGCAAGACAGCCACATATTTTAACAGATTTGTGGTATGGCAGCTTTCCTTTCCACACATTACTGAGTGGAGCCCTTTCCCCCCCATATCACTTACTGTCCCCGGGAGCCTGGGTTCTGGGTGGGAAGTAGGGAAATGCTGTGCCCAAAAGAGCTAGGGGAACTTTCCCGTGACCTTTAGGATCTCAGCTCAGCCTCTGGTTTGATCTGGGGCTTTGCTTCAGAGTTGGAAAGAGAAACCCATTTTCTGCCCAAGTCCTGGTGGCTCCAGAAGGGGAACAGCCAGCCCTGCCCCCAGCGTCCGTTGCCCAAGTGAACTGCTCAAATTGAGTAATTATGAAACCCCCCAGCTGGGAGGACAATGACATCACACTCCCTAGAGAAGAGAAAATAAAGAGGCAAAAATAGGGTGCCCTGGGAGAGGCATTAAAAATATCCCAAAGGGGGAGAAACTCAAAGAACTCACAAATTGAAAAAGAAGTTGTGAGGGTGGCTTCTGAACTCACCAGCTGCCCACGGCTGTAGCCGGGATGGCAAAGGGGCAAGGTGGTATCACAGGTGCTGGTCATCTGTGGCGGGATTTAGTGGGGAAAAGGAAGCGGACGAAGCAGGAAGCTAAGGCAGCTGGTGGGCAGGAAGCAGGTCCCTTTTCAGCCAAATAGGAGAATACCAGGAGGGGCGGGCCCAGGGAGAGGCCGCCTCCTGGCTGCTCCCCTTCTCCCCTCACTCTCCCCAGGTCCCTGAGTTTGCTCTCCTGCTCATTCTCTTATGCATCTGTCTACCTCTCCAGAGACCTAATTTAAGAAACTCAGTCGTTCTCCTAGCTTCAAATTTTCATCAGCCAGAGAAACTAAAAAAACAAAAAACACAAACACAAATATATTCCTTAAAACTACATTTAGCTTTTTTAGAAAACCCACAAAAATCTGACCTCCTTACAGGGCAGAGTGACCAACCTCAGTCGGCTTTAAACCCCAAAGTTTCTGAAGCACGTACATACCTCTGGCCTTTCAAGTGCTCACCCCAGCGTCTGCCATAGCGCCCTGCTGTGATCATCAATGTTCACACTCTGGATATGGATCAACACCATTTGTTTTGCTTCTTTTTCCCCAGAACAAAGGGGGTTTGTTGATGTGCCCTGGTTGTATTGACCCAGACACATTACTTTCTAGCTGAACACCCAGCCCGATCCACTTCCCGACAGCCAAGCCCCCGGGTGAGTACTTTTCCTGATGAAAATACTACAGATAGATTTACCTCCATGGGGTAGTTTTCCTGTGCTTTCACAGGTCTGGCATATATGGAGGATTTTGCTACAAAGCATCCCTTCTACCTTCTCTGTGCCTCTCTGATGAATGTGCCCAGTGCCCAGATCTAAAAGAACCACCCTTCTGCCCTAGAGTTTCCTTTTAGATTCTGCCTGCGAGGGCACAAATACCTGTAGTAAAAGAATCTGAGTTTCATCTTTTGGCCCTGAGCATTGTTCCCTTAAGGCAAAGAAGGACTTACCCCCACCGCCTGGCTGCAGGTCTGTCGCTCATGCCTTCCCTGGCCAGAGTGCAGCTCTCATTGCCTGCCCGCAGCTCCCAGTGTGCTGGGAGTCAGATTACGGCCACTTGTCTGATTGGGTTTTTGGAGTCTAGGGGTGGAAAGATTCTGCACCATGTGGCAATCGCCAAGTTATATTTGAACTTGAAATAACTTCTCTCTACCTGATCACTATGGACACAGGGCATTTCAGGAACACAAAAACGTTTGCTTACATTGTTTCTTTAGCTGGTAATCTTTGAAAAGGAGGATTTCTCCAAAGCTTTGAGTTCTTTCTCTCACAAAGAATTGCCGAGAATTTGTCTTGTTTGGTGATGTGTTGTGGTTGAAATCGGGCAAGCATTAGAAAATAGATTTGCATTATCCAGCACTTGAGATGACTGAAATCTCAGCTGCAGTGCGTTTGTTTTTGAGTGGCAAAATATCCAGTGGGTTCTATCTGAAGTTTTTGAACTGAGAAGCAGCAGTTTAAGCATAAAGATAACTGCAGGTCCATTTGTAGCCTGGGTGGCACTGATTTGGATAAGAGGAAGGAAGGAAAAACAGGAAATGAGACTACTCCAGGGTACTCACCTGGCTGCTATATTAACAACAATTGTTGGGTAAGATGTAGCAAATTTAAAAATACAGAGGTTGGGTGGGTAGAAGATTTTTGGGAACTGTAGGTAAATATACTGTCTGGAAACCTAGAGACAAGACCGACTACATCATTTGTGGGGCTCAGTGCAAAATGAATGCAAGGCTTCTTGTTCAAAAATTATTAAGAATTTCAAGATTGCAACAGTAAGACATTAAATTAAATGTGGGGCCTTCCTAAATGCAGGGCCCTGTGCAACCGCACATGAGGGCATCCCCGACTAAGGAGTTTGGTGAACTCTGGAAGGTCTGAGAATTAGCTGCCTGCATCACTATCTCAATTTTTTTCTTTAAAAGGACCTCAGGTGCCTAGAATTGAAATAATCACAATCCTTGGTTTATTACACTCTATCATCACTGGTACGTATATGGCTCTCTTTTATTTTGTAATAGTTAATTAATTACTTTTTAATAATTCAATGAACGTCCGTGAGCCCACCACTGAAGGCAACAACTAGAACTGTGACAATTTACATTTACCCATGGGATTCTCCCCATCCCTGCCCCGCTTCTCCACCTATCGTCTCATTCAGAGCCAAGTGTTTTTCAGGATGAAGTGTGGCAAAGAAGAAATACAGAAGAGAGAAGAACAAAAACTATTGTACTTTCGCATCACAGTTTTTTTGTTTTCTTGTCTCATTTGGGTACTTGAGACTTGGGAATGAGTGAAAAGCTCTCCTTAGGAAGAGGACTTAAGATTTTGAGTGTGAATTTCAGAGGAGCACTTTATTACTGTTTGAAGCATTCTCAGATAACAAAGATTGAATGTATCCTTTAATAATGTGGTTGAGCACTGATGGTTGTCCATCAGGGGTTTCAGCCTTTACAGAATGTGCTCCCTGAAAGTCAGAACAAATTCTGATGAGAAGAAAAGGGGGAATTTATGTGAATTTACAAAGAAGACTTAAAAGGTTGATTCTTAAAGCTGTTTACCATTCAGATTTTAGAATGAGATAAAAAAAAGGGTGCAAAATGTTTTTTTAGAAATTTGAAAACTTTGACTCTCTAGGCAGGTGTGCTAAATGTAATTGGTCTGACTCTAAGAACATTGAGTCAGAAGTGTTTGTGAGGTTCATGCGCGCAAGGAGCAATGCTGCAGTGTTAGGTTCTTCCTGTGGATGAGGCCTGTGGTCCTATCCATAGGCACCCACAAAGAGTGGTGCTCCTGGGGATTGCTGGTTGTTGGGGGGCATTTTTCAGGTCCACTCTTTGCAAGTTGCCCGAGGATCTTTAGCATTCACACCATGGCACTGGCAGTTCCCGTCACCATTTTACAAAGTGCCAACAAAACTTGGTTACCACAGTTTCTCAGACCCTTTCCCTTTCTTCTGGCTGGCTGATCACTGCCCTGGTAGAATGTGTTGACAGTCTAGTTCCAAAGGGATGGCTGTTCCCATCAAGGGAAGGGCCACCCTAATTGGCATCAACTGATACACTTATTATTATTCTCAGCAGAATGGCTTAAAATTGACCAGGGATTAACCCTTCACCTACTGGAGGTAGTTTTTCTTATTACGCATTACTTATCATCCTTTTTATATATGAGATGGTATTATTGATCCTCCTGCAACCTTTCAGCCCTGTGCGATAACCAGCTACTTGCCCACTTTTTCTTTGGACTAGGGACAGAAATTTCCAATAGGATTGTCTGTGGTGATGCACGCAGGTTACAATGATGGAAGGAAGCAGCTAAAATGAGCTTGTGGTGATATGGGGGGCAGTATGAGGTGGGGAACTTGGCTGATATAAGTAATAGCTTCTAAGTTGATTAGTTTTGAACTGGTCTGATCCTAGAACCAAATGAGATTTAGAATCTAATCTTTTTCCCCACTGGTAACTTTAAAGGAGCTTAATTCATTTAAAAATGGAATAATTTATTGATGAAATCTTCTTGACTTTCCTACTGTTCTGTGCTGTGATCTTTGCTGGGGGGGGGGGTGGTAACATGGCATGTTGGTTTAAAATCACTCCTTTATGTCAAGCAAACTTGTGAATTTTTAGCTTTGTCAATAGCCTTGTCAAGTTGTAGGTCAGTAACATATGAGGAAAATTAAAGAAGGATAAATGAAAATTACAAGAGTACTCAGCAAAAACTAGCCGATTAACACACTTTGCTTCTGAATTTTTAATCTACTACCTCGTACTGTTTTCCTTTGGTGCTGATGTATGTCTTTGGGATTTGTGAGTGCCTCCCAATGCTGCCCTCAAAACTTTTACTATTTCTTCCTGTGTTCAGAGTTTGAAGACTAACACAAAAGCACTAAAAATGCCAGCAATGCCTCAGTACCACACGGGAAGTGTCTCCAGGCCAGTAGGGGTAGATTCGATCTCACCTCATAAATCTTATTTTGCTTTTCATGAATCACAGGGTCATGAGTTCCTGCCAGAGCACTTATATATCAGTATGTTCCTTAAAAACAAACAAACAGAACAACAGCGGCAACCGCAACCACCATAACAAAGGGCTTTAATGGAGCTTCATTTCCTTTTCAAAGAGGTGTTACCTTATTGTGATAATTCAGAGTGGTTTCCAGAAATATAGTTCACCACCAAGAGAGGAAAATAAAAATCACAACCAAAATTCCAGCAAGGAACCAAAATGTCTGACTTGGCCTCCTGTTCCTCAGTGAGGTGAATGTGAGAAAACCTTGACCTTTCCAATGGACTCGGAACCCTTCACTAAATCTCCACTCCTGCCGCATGCCCCATGGATCCTGGTTTTCCCCTTTGGTATAGCAGGCACATTTTCGTTGATTCAGATCCTGGCAGACTCTGCTTTGGCTGGGAAGTTGTGCTCTGCTGACATTTAAGGCAGGAATTCCCTGGGAAAATAGTCAAGAGATTCTTTTGGTGCTGCTGGCAGGGATCCAAGGGGTTTAGGGTTCTCCTCTCTAGGCGAATGGGGAAAGAGAAAGGGAGGGAGGGAAAGACAAAGAGAAGGACTTTATTGAGTGACTGTATTTCACCTGAAGCTTGTACAAAAAAGCAGAAATGTGGTTGGATGACTGGATACTTTTCTTACCCCTTATCTCTTACCCAGCTACTATGACAGTTCAGCGTTTGGTTGGGCATTTTAAAGGCTGCTTAGACATCCATCGTCAAAAATCAGTTCTCTGGGGAGCAAGGAACTTTGGGATCTAATGGGTTGGACCAAAATATTTGAAATGGTCAATAATCGACATGTAGTCTATAGCAGCAATCATTTGAATTTAAATTAAATTTGAACATATTAAGAGCTAAACCAACATTTTGGCGATTGTTATGACCTATTGTTCAAAAAGGCTGAGAATCCTCACATTTTTAATAGACTAACAAAGATATTCCCAGTTTCAAGGAAAGAGCAAGATGTTTAAAATTCCATGCACAAGGGGACTATGACAGGAGGAGTAAACCAAAAAACGAGGCAGTTAAAAAAATGCTTTTAGAATAAGGCTAGATTCTAAGAAATCTATTTTTGAAGAAAATAAGATTTTCTAAGATTCTATTTTCTAAGAAAACAGCAGAAATGGTCACAATCTGTGGCCACCAAAAATGTGACTGACTCTCAATAGTCAAGTTATTTAGGAATTCCCTAAATAATTTAGACAAAACTTTGGCTTGCATCTTTCCTAAATTATTATGCATTCTTCTCTTTAACTTCTGTGCTTCCTTTTTTCATACAATCAGAAGAAATCTAGATTGGGAGACAGTCACAGCGCCTCTTAGAGCTGTCAAGTCTCAGGGGTGGTTTCACCTCACCTGAATGTTCTTATCTCTAGCTACAGCTTGGCCTGGGTGCCTGCTGTAGAGGACCACGCGTGGCCACATCTTGTCAGTTCCCACCTCTAAGGAGCCAACCAAGGTGATCCTTTCATCTTCAATCCCTTCCCCTTTTCTCTTTGCCACAGGATTCTCTGATTCCTCTTTAAGAACTGCTCAGCATTTATTGTCTCCATGAAACCTCCCCATCTCAAACTTGCTGGGCTCTAGTCACTTAAAAACCCTCAGCAACCCATGAGTCTATGATACTCCACAGTTATAACTGGGAAATGT